CTATTTTTATTAATAAAATATACATGAACTAGATTATACCGCTAGTGCAGTCGGTGTTGCCATTTTCTCGACACTCGACACTCGACACTCGACACTCGACACTTGACACTCGACACTTGACACTCAGACACTCAGACACTCAGACACTCGACACTAGACACTCAGACACTCAGACACTCAGACACTCAGACACTCAGACACTCAGACACTCAGACACTCAGACACTCAGACACTCAGACACTCAGACACTAGACACTCAGACACTAGACACTCGACACTCGACACTCGACACTCAACACTCGACACTCAGACACTCAGACACTAGACACTCAGACACTCAGACACTAGACACTCAGACACTAGACACTCAGACACTAGACACTCAGACACTCAGACACTCAGACACTCGACACTAGACACTCAGACACTCAGACACTCGACACTCGACACTTGACACTCGACACTTAGACACTAGACACTCAGACACCCAGACACTAGACACTCAGACACTAGACACTCGGATACAAGACACTCAGACACTAGACTCTCAGACACTTGACACTCAGACACTCAGATGTTAGACACTCAGACACTAGACACTCGACACTCGACACTCGATACTTGACACTCAACACTCGACACTCGACACTCGACACTCGACACTCGACACTCGACACTTAGACACTAGACACTCAGACACCCAGACACTAGACACTCAGACACTAGACACTCGGATACAAGACACTCAGACACTAGACTCTCAGACACTTGACACTCAGACACTCAGACGTTAGACACTCATACACTAGACACTCGATACTCGACACTCGATACTTGACACTCGACACTCGACACTCGACACTCGACACTTAGACACTAGACACTCAGACACCCAGACACTAGACCAGTTTCCCAAAACGTGTAGTGAGCCAAAGTTTTATTTCACAAACTTACAAATTTTATACACAAAATATACTTCTTTTGTAATTAAATATGTCAATATCTGGCTGCTGAGCAATCAGAGAATTGAGCAGAGAAATAGCCTGATACGTGGGAGCAAACTGAGCAGTACAGGTACGAACCGGCGGTGCCGATAGTAGTCTACAAGCACGCAATCGCATGCAGCGTTGGGGTGCGTACAAAGAACAACGGCTAAGAGTTGCAGGATTGTCTATTCCGCCGTTGAGCAACTGATAATAGTGCATCATCAAATTGCACTTTCGCCTTACCTCGAGCGTGTCTAGACCTACCATACCGGATACGAACAGTGATGGGTACAAATAAGGATAGTAGCCGTAAAGTTTACTATATAGAACACGTGCAAATTTCCTCTGAACTCTTTCTATCATTATCTTGTATTTTGTTTCATGAGGGTTCCAAATAATTGAATTGAATTCTAAAATGCCGTTGTCAGATTGATCTGAAATTTGGTACACACATTTAATTTAGATGACAATACTTTTTTTTTTTTTTTATACAACTTAGAATGGCAAACAAGCTGACGGCCCACCTGATGGAAAGTGGTAACCGTCGCCTATAGACAATATAATAAAATAATACAATAATACAATATAATAAAATCAATAACATAATAAATCTAAGATAGCCGCCGATACAAAATGGCGGATTACATATTTTTCCTTAACCCCCGTACAGAACATATCGAGAACAGTTGCGTCTAAGATTGTGTGACGTTAGAGGGGCAGATAAAAAAAAATAGGTAATTAGATACCTCGTTAGTAAGCGGTAGTTACACCACCCAAGTTTTTTTTTTTTTTTATAGAACTTAGAATGACAAACAAGCTGACGGCCCACCTGATGGAAAGTGGTAACCGTCGCCTATAGACATGAGCAGTACCATGGACATAACAGAGTATACTGTTTCGCCCATGATACCCCCCATGCGTTGCCATTCCTGAGGACTAAGGTGTTATTCCTCTGTACCCAGTAAATTCACGCCATTCAAAGCTAAGGTAATAGGTTAAAACGTGCCGAGGACTGTATGCCATTAGGGTGAATAAAAATGTAATGTCGTAAGCGCTTCCCCCTCAAGATTGGGCGCATCTTGTTGTATATTAAGCCTTGCCCCTTTACTGGACTGCGGGGGGGGGGGGGGGGGGGGGGGGGGGTCGACCGTCAAAATGCCCCTTAATTGTGGGAACAACATGGTAACAATAAACAAAAAATACCAACAAATATAAATAAGACTGGAGGCTTACCATCAGTACTTGAAATATTTGTAGGTGCAAAAGTAATGTTGCGGCCCAACAATGACGTTACAAAAGGATTGGTAAACGACGCTATAGGCCACATTACAGAAATTTTTTGGCCTCAGTTCCGTCGAACCCAAATGTACGAAACAGATATATCATCAGTTTTAATTGACTTTGGCACAGACGGCATGCACGTTATTTACCTTAAAGCCATACAGTTTCCAGCAAAATTCAATTATGGTACGGCTGAAAAAAGGATGTTGCCCTTAGTTTTGTCATGAGCATTCACCGTCCATAAAATGCAGGGCAGCACCGTCGACCATGCAGTAGTATATTTGGGCTCAAAATGGTTTGAGGAAGGACAAGCGTACGTGGCTCTAAGTCGAGTCAAGTCTCTGGAAGGGCTATGTATTGAGGAATTAGATTGTACTAAATTATCAGGTAAGAAACCATGTAATAATGATGCACTGAATGAATTAAATAGAATGAGGAATATTCGGTAAACAATTTCACTACTAAAAACTAAAAACAAGAAAATAAAAATCGGTAAAAAAACTTTTAAGTTAAACGGTTTTATTTTATGTGCACTGAAAACTACAAAATAAATAAATAGTTACTTACCTATCAACCTACGTAGGTGATCTCGGTCATTAATATCTCTGATGGTAGTGGTTGTCATAGCATGAACCATGTCAGCGGCCGAAAGGCAGTTCATGAGAGAACACTGACACCAGGGTTTGCTTGGTAGGTAAACTAAGCAGCCCACACTATAACAAGTAGGTATTTTGACCTTCTAGTTCAGAAATATTTTAGTACTAGGCAGAATAGCTTTTAGGCATATTAGACTAAAATAAAAACGTGGGGCCCCTCTGAAATCATACCTATAGCAGAGCATATCTTATACTTTGGTAGATCATGAGCTCGGCGTTCGCTGGTGACGCCGTAACGGCTGGTTATTGATGGTCAAAACCTCCAGTAACGATTATAGTAAGTCGATTCAGCGGACCCTGGACTCCGGAGCTATGAGGTTTCGGATGCGACCGGGATAAACCGCTAGGATGATGATGATGACGATTATAATAAGTCGATGCAATCCACACTTAGTATAGTAGAAAGTAATACAGAAATAGTTAATGGGCCCCACGTTTTTATTTTAGTCTAATATGCCTAAAAGCTATTCTGCCTAGTACTAAAATATTTCTGAACTAGAAGGTCAAAATACCTACTTGTTATAGTGTGGGCTGCTTAGTTTACCTACCAAGCAAACCCTGGTGTCAGTGTTCTCTCATGAACTGCCTTTCGGCCGCTGACATGGTTCATGCTATGACAACCACTACCATCAGAGATATTAATGACCGAGATCACCTACGTAGGTTGATAGGTAAGTAACTATTTATTTATTTTGTAGTTTTCAGTGCACATAAAATAAAACCGTTTAACTTAAAAGTTTTTTTACCGATTTTTATTTAATTTACTACAAACAATATTGGATATTATATAAATTTGTCAAAGACAAATATAATCTTTATTAATATTTTCCACAACGTTTACATACAAATTATTTTAATAGAACTAATAAATTATGAAATATGCCTGAATTGCATTAATCTATTTTTTTTTAAAGAATTGAGGACAGATACAAAATTTATGGAAATTTTGTATTTACTCTAAATTTTCTAAAAAACAGTCATTGTTGTAATAAAACATTCAAGTAAAAATAATCTAGATAAATTTGCCCATAAAATAAGACCTTATTTATTATTGTATGATTATTAGACCCCAATATACAATGTCGTAACAAAGACGCTGTTGAAAGCTCCAGTACCATAGTAAGTTACGCATATAACGCACGTGAAAAGAAAAACGAATTTGAGATTTTTCCACTACTCTATAGAGGCTTACTGGTCGACGATCGTCCTTAATAATCGTCCGATCACTTGACTCTGAGCTCGAGTGAAATATTCTTTTATATTTATACTCTAACATTTGTTCAATGTTCCGCCACGACTTAGAGTAGCCTGATTGACATCAGGCTAGGTCACACCTATACCGGTTACGATTGATAATATCCTCCGCTCGAAGTTGTTAACGAGTATGTATAGCTGGGACAACTTGTCCGACTAGGTAAATCGAATTTCAACCGAGAGGTCAACCGATGAATCCAGCTCGGCTGAGCAGCGTTCGGGAAACTATGCCACATCTTTTCATCCAAAATACCTCAAAGTATGAAGACGAAGGTCTTTAACCAGTGTGTATTGGCAGTAATGACTTATGGAACCGAAACATGCTCCTACACAGTTGCCAGTATGTAAAAGCTTCAAATTACTCAGCAGGCTACGGAGAGAGTTATGCTTGGAGATTATTTGCGTGATATAATCTTAAATGAGGATATCTGTAAAAAACCAAACTAACCGACATAGCCCGAAGTTACATAGTTCGAGGAACCGATAACCGATGGGAATGAAAGGTTCTCGAGTGATGACCTCGTACAGGCATACGTAGTGTAGAACGACTAAATGGAGTAACAACCTCATATTCATTGCAAGGAGTCAGTGGATGCAGGTGACTCAGTACCATTCCTTATAACAGTCTATGGAGGAGGCCTGTATTCAGCACTGGACAGATAATAACTGAGATGGTTTTATTTTATTTATTTATTTAGGTTCACCAACAATAGTTTCCACAAGATAGTGTTAATATTTATACAATTATGGAACTTAGAACTTAGACCACGGAGCTTAGATGATGATGATGATAGTATCAATTAAGAATAAATTAAATTTAGTATTCATAATTAAGACATTTATTATCATGTACCTAATTAATTGCACCAATTTTATTAAAAAATATTGGAACAAAGAAAATATATATAATGATGACACACGTAAGTCTGTGTATGTAACCTTTATAAATAAGAATATAAAGGTGAGGAGAGCAATTCGTCTACTGGCCGTAGCCTTGCCTGCAGTAGACGGTAGTGTAGACAGTGGCGTTGATGAACAGCAGCCCGCGGCGATGCACCAGCGCCGAGTCTACTGAGCGGATGCGCACGCGCGGCGCCATGTCCGCGTCGCACACCTCCACCTTGAGACCCGCCAGCTTGTAGCCATAAGGACATACCTGCAACAGTTTATATTGCGGTGACCACTATTCTTTCGTAATCATATTGAAGATTGCTGCTCACCTACTACTAGTATTGATTCTGGAGCTACAAAGACTACTTTTTGAAACATCGGTCAAACCTATTGACTAAAAAAAAAATTATAATCATTTTAAACTTTGTTTAGGAAACCATTTCTTCTAGAGTAAATTTTATAATATGGACGACAACTGCGAACATATCTAAAACTACTCATATATTACTCATATATACTGCTTGCTTTATTATAATATTTAATAGCAATGTGCTATTTCTGCATAAAGCAAGCAGTATATGTACTTCATAAGACACGCTCAATACTAAGCAATACTTGCTGTAGTCTAATGTGTGTAATGAGGTATATTTACCATGAATACCGTAAGCTTTTTATAAATATTTTTGCTCTACTTTAACCTTGGATCCAGCTTCGCCTCCATGAAATTTTTGTTGTTGGCAAATGTTGGCAAAATGGCATGATTCCGATAATTTTAACACCCCTATTAAGGTTTATGATATATAAAGCATTCATATACGAACCCAATTTTGATACAAACTCGATCTTCAAAATTAGGTTTTATAGTAGACCTGAAATCTTAATAATATGACAAGGGTAATGAGTGTTCACAGACCAAATGGGAAGGCACCGTGACTAGTGCATCTCTCTTTCCGGCTTCGATGTACGACGTATTCAGTTGCATCGGCATTGCCGTGATGTCACCTGCGACATATTTAAACATACATTTTATCTCAATTTTCTATATATACATCGTACATTTTAATAATTGATCATATCGACTGTTATTAAACCAATGGGTACAATCCGCTTTCTTTTATTTAATATTCCAAAAAGTAGGATCCCGAACATATGTAATAAAGTCTCAAATGTATTTGGTTTTTACCTATATAAGCGTCTACAAATGCTTCACCAAAAACAAATTGGCAAATTTTATCCATGTGTGCATAAATCAGGTTACCAGAGTATACTTATTACAAAATACTAATTACTATTTTATAATACTATTATAACTAATAATAATTTTATAAGTAGGCAGGAGAAAGGTATTGCAAGGTTACGTTGAAAAATAAAAACGACACAAAATATTTACGAGTATATATACTCATATCATATCAGTCAAAATAGCTCCCTGCTGTGAGTTGTATTGAGACGACGAGGTTGGTAGAGATGTATTTTTCCAATGGCTTAGTTGTAACTGATATAAATAACAAATTAAAATGTATACAAAGTACAAATACAGTAAATTAAGACACAAATGGTGGGGCGACACGTTGACCTGGTACGTGCAGTACTAAATTAACAGTTATTAAATTTCTAAATAAATCAACAATTTCTTTATTGCACTGCACGCATAAACATAGATATGAATCCATATTCCCCATAAAAAATTAAATCATCTACTCATTTATTTATTTATAGGATTACCAACATGGTATAGACTCGCATGGTATAGACACAATCTAAAACGTTGGGATTATAAAATTTTACATTCAGCCCTGTTATTAAAATAACGCAACAAAAAGATAAATATTTATGGATTGTGGTTATGTTTAGGGCGATGTGTGACAAGTGGTAGCAGGAGCTGTGCCGGTGAACAAAACAGTGACGATAATAAAGCACATAGAAGTACAAAAAGTTAACTGCACTCACCAAAAGTGTCTGTCTGACATAAGTCTGCACTAGCTGCATTCAATAACGCCAAAGTAAGCAGAAGCACGAGTCCAAGCTTGGAGAACATAGTGTGAGGCACAGGCGCAGCCAGCATGGTCACTGTAGAGCCAGGCACTCGTCTGTGATCGCCGACAATACATACGGAAAGCACCTCATGCCGCGCTTTTATACTAAACTACAATTCATCGTTGTAATATAAAAATATAAAATTACATTTTATACTAGCAATTATGCATGAAAAATTATTAATTTACATAAAAAATATACTATTTGCCACGCTTACACCTCCGCCTTATTTATTATCGCAAGGAAAGAGTCGATGTAAAACGAATAAAGCCGTGCAGCATTGGTACAGTTCAATTCATTTATTTTATTCACATTGTAAAGTCAACAAAATAATATAAAAAGATGCAATATAGCAATAACAACAATCTTTATATGACCATAATTCACATATAATTTAAAAATAAATAGGTAAACTTGGCTAACTCACTAAAAAAGTTTTTGGCAGTTTTTGGCTAGCTAAACCATGGGCTATTTTATATTAAGGTTAATCGATATATCCCATTTACACGGACGAAATCACGAATACAAACTAGTACGTCTGTTAACGACTACGTACTAACGACGCAATTTTTGTTTTAAATCGATCAAATTGTCGGCTAAAATCCTCATCCAAACATATTTACATACATACATCCTATCATCATCATATCAGCCTTTAACTGTCCACTGCTAAACATAAGCCTCCCCTTGGGGGGTTTTGCCAGTAGTTGCCACGCTTGGCAGGCAGATTGGCCATCGCAGTTAGACTTAGAAATGTTTTAAGAGGGACGCTGCTGCCCATCCCTCGCCCTCCCTTAGTCACCTCTTATGACACCCACGGAAGAGGAAGGGGTGACCTATTCTATGCCGGGACCACACGGCGAATCCATACCTATATAAAATACATAATTCTTATACCCGAAAAACACTATTTAATTTTGTTTTTTCGGCAATCAAATAAAAAGTATCATAAACCGCTGTCACGATTGGAATGAATAAAAATAAAAGGTAGTCTTGAAATCCTGAATCCAACAAAATTGTTTGGACAAAATTGAAAAATATTATTATGCAACTCTGTAACTGATTATTATATAAACATACAGACTACACACATGGCTTATTATATATATATATATATATATATATATATATATAAGTATTGACATGAATAAGAAACAAACACTCAAACATATTCACAATTATTTTTATCTACAATTTCATGGTGCAAATTGAATAGTATTCATAAACTAATACGTTGCTATTCGCCACGTTGCTCTTAAGGAAAAATAATACTGGTACAAATTTCAATTTACAAGATTCAAGTTTTTTTCTTTGTTTTAGCACTCCATGTGGCAGCGCTCCATACAGTTCTGAGCGAACGCAGAGACAATAAAATATGGTCCATGAATACGATCTACCGAAAAGATGAAGTGAACTAACCAATATATCAGCCCTTGCCTGTCCTCTACTGAACATAAGGAAGGTTTTGCCAGAAGTTGCCACGCTTGGCAGATGAATTGGCAACCACATTTAGGTTTTGGAGATGTATTAAGAGGGACGCTGTTGTCTATTCCTCGCCCTCCCTTAGTCACCATGCGATGCACAGTGGGCACCATGACGCCGGTGGCCGCAGTGAATCAGTAAAAATAATCACTCTGTAAAAATAAAATTATAAAATAATATTTTATAAAATCTACTGTAATACATAATTCATGTTTATCTTTTTCGTTTTTATTAAAATAGTCCAAAAGCAATACTAAGGTCATATACTCATACAGCCTATTTTTAGAAGATGTTGTATCGATGGCCCAGGAGTGATGAGTAATTGTTTAAGATTCACTAATACAGAGTGGTTTGTTTATTCATCACAGGTTGGTTTAATAAAATCTCCATGAGTTAACTTTAAAACATTTTTACACATTTCAATTATATTTTTGTCAATGCCCTGCAAGAAAATGGACTGAATATAAACTGATAAACCACCGAAGATACTATCCTTAATCTACGCTATAAATATATAAGGATAGAATGTGGCTAGTCATGGATCATGGTCGACTTATTTCTTTTTTTATTTCATCTTCTATAAGTTTCAATTGTGACGTTCTTCTTTCAAATCAAACAATCACATAAATATATTGATTACATTAAATTTAAATCAATAATTATATTTTATTGTATTGTGTAGTTTCTACTATTGTTTTAGTGCAATCATGGATATAACGTATCAATACACGAAGAAGCGGTACGATTTCGGGCGGCAGCCGATGTTCTGCGAGCAGGGCCCCGAGATGTGCGACAGCATCGCCACCAACGTGGCCGAGCACAAGCACTATATCCTACGTAACCCCGTGCACCAGCTTACGCAGAACACGCCCGCCTTCTCCGAACACCATGTCAACACCAGACGGTCGGTTCGAAACTCCCTTTACCTCTACCTCGCCTTCCACTCAATATGCAAAACGGCCATGACGCCAACAACTCATGACAATCTCATCAACAGGAAATTCATCCACAGAAGCTACGTAGTAGTCACGTATAGAACAGTGCAAGAATCTTTTATTCCACGATGGCTTATTTTGTTAGATAAGCGATCAAAGACGTCATTCAATAATTTAAAATTGTGTTCCGCAAAAAAAAAACTGGTTTCAATTGTAGAAAAACCAGCTATTTTGATTTAAAAACTAAATTACTGCAACTGATTTTAATAAACTTTGTATACAACCAATCTGTAAGTACATCGTTTTACATGAAAAGAGAATTTTCAAATCAGTTTATAACTAACGGAGTTATGAAGTAACAAACATTGAAAATATACAACCAAATTGAGAACCTCCTTCTTTTTGAAATCAGTTGGAAAAAAGTGTTGAAAGGTTTCTTCAGGGCCTTAGTCTTCATTACGCACTTGGTGGCCCGCAATCGGCCTTGGTTACTATTTTTATCAAACGAGCCATATAAGTAAACGTTACCCTTGTTGCATAAATAAATCTCCATTTTTTGATTCAACAAATCAACATTTCGTAACAAGCATCAACTACTTACTATTTCTATTTCTACACAATTTTCAAAATGTAGTATACTTTCTTCCAAGAATGATGTATTTATTATTACATTTATGTATTCACTTCTTTTCCTTTGTGTCCGAAATTCTATTCATGCACGTTAAATTTTACAGAGCCGAGTACACATCATCAGGTGCCAATCATGCGGAGGGTGGCTGGCCTAAAGATGTTAATACTCTGGACCCCGAGGCGACGCAGCGGTACAGGCGCAAGATAGAGAAGGATGACAATTATATACACTGCGTCATGTCTCTCGCACCGGTAATATTCATTGAAATATTCAGATTTCTCAATTGACATTTTGTTATTGGTCACACTGACGATGCGCTACTCTAACAACTATCTAACAACATTCATACTCTATTACTATGTGACATTATGTGATTATCTATTATTATGTGACATATTAGTAATATGTGACACCATAAAGAGGGAGACTTTGTACAAAAGTCGATTCCTTGGGTACCTCTGTCCCATTCGTGTTTCAACTGTGAAGCAGTTGTGTTTGCATGACTGTGTTTTGTTTGAAGGGTATGGCGTGAATTTACTGAGTACAGAGGAACAACACTTGAGTCCTCAGGAATGACAACGCATGGGGAGTATCATGGGCGAAACAGTATACTCTGTTATCTCCATGTTACTGTTCATATCTATAGGCGACGGTTACCACTTTCCATCAGGTGGGCCGTCAGCTTGTCTGCCATTCTAAGTTGTATAAAAAAAAATGAAAATAGATACTTGAATTAATAATTTTAATCACTCGAACCTACATTTTACGACGCGCGTCCATAATCATTGCAATCATTCATATACGAGTATTATGAATATGCTTAAAATCGACAACCGATTATTACAGGGTATGGAACATTATGTTTTACAAAATAACGCCATCGACATGTACCGCACATACTATGCAGAGATGACAAGTCTGACAGCTCCCGAGCGAAGCAGTTGCCGCACAGTCAATGTGTACCGAGACGGAAGCACCGGCGGAGCGAAACGGCCCGTCAGCTCAATTTGCTGGCAACCGGAAGACGGACATCGTTTTGCAGTCACTTACGCAGATGTGGACTCTTATCGCAACACGCACTCCACCACTAATTCGTACATATGGGACACAGAGAATGCTAACTATCCTGAAGTTACTATACAGCCACCGGTACCGTTACTCGATCTACAATTCAATCCTCGCGACCATAATATTCTAACGGGTGGTTTAATTAATGGTCAGGTGGGATTCTGGGACCGTAGACAGGGAGGCGGTCCGATGGGCACATGTCCACCTCACGTTGCACACAGGGATCTTGTTCGTAACGTTTTGTTCATAAATTCCAAATCTGGCCAAGAATTCTTCTCGGGAGGCCCTGACGGTGCTTGCAAATGGTGGGACATTCGTAATCTTAATGAGCCTACTGATGAAATTATCATAGATGTAGTAAAATCATCCTTCGATGTGCAAAGTATGGCGAACGCAAACGGCGTCACCGTTCTCGAGTACGAGCCTACGATACCGACTCGCTTCATGGTAGGCACCGAAAATGGCTTAGTCGTTAGTGGCAATCGCAAAGGCAAAACACCCATGGAAAAATTACCCGCTAAAGTAATTATTATTTCATAATTATTATAATACCCATATTCAAAATAAAACTATATCAGGGACTAATTTTAACTGTTCATTATTTGTAGTTTGAGGCACATGTCGGGCCTGTTTGGTCAGTAGAACGGAATCCAGGTTTTTTGAAGAACTTTTTAACAGTCGGAGACTGGACAGTGCGAGTATGGAGTGAGGATTGTCGGGAGTCAGCCGTGGTCTTCTCGCCGCCACATCGTCACAAGATCACTGCTGGCACCTGGAGTCCTACTCGGTTACTTAGCAATTGAGTATATTAGAATTTAAAAAAATACATTGTTATTTACCGTGAATTATTTGGACAGGTTATCACTGATGTTACTGGCCCAGTGGAACGGTATGATAGCGATCTGGGACCTGCTGCGGCGACAAC